AATAAATAAATAAAATTGACATACCATTTGGTTCGATTCTCAATACCTATGTATCACTCATTTTTGTGATTAATGATTTTTAGAATAATCAAAATCACATCGGTTGATCAATACTTTCAATACAATATGCTGCAACTAATATTGGTATTTCAAATCCTCACCTTGGACGCTATTGATTAGGCCTAACATCCCTCCTAAAAAAAATAAATAAAAAGGTGGCACTCTCATTTAGTAAGAGTTTTTATTTAAAGGTTCTAATTTTGCCCAAAGGTTTGCAATCCAACCAAGCCCGCCGAACTTTTACATGACCCAACTCTGTACTTTGGATAGATTGGACTAACCTAAATAAGGCTTGGGTTAGGCCTGGACTGGAATCTGGGCCTAAGGCCTAGGTGATGAAGCTTGACCCGACTCAATTGCTTGGACTGGGTCACTCTGTACTTTGGATAGATTGGACTAACCTAAATAAGGCTTGGGTTAGGTTTGGACAGGAGTCTGGGCCTAAGGCCTAGGTGTTGAAGCTTGACCCGACTCAATTGCTTGGACTGTTGGCAATGAAAGGTAATCTATCAACTCAACAAAAAATAAGAAAATAGAAATAAAAAGAAAAGAAAATTCAAAACCAGGCTCGAATCTCAACTCATTAAACTTAGCTCGTGGCCTCCTATGTAGATCCTTTCGTCTAAGCCCGTTGGACCATTTTTAAGCCTAAAGTTTATAGCTCGTAAAAAAAATTGTTAAACAAAAGTCAAAGGATTTCAACACCAATTTTACAAGTTGAATTGACTTGACCTGATGCTGAATTTTACTTGTGGGAGCCTAATGGGTGTCCAGTTCACATTACTCTGTGAGTAAATCACACTTCATTAGATAAGTTGACTAATTTTTTCAAATTTGCACAAAGGCTTTTCCTAAGGGAAGAACAAACCGTAAGGGTATACACAAAGCGGACAATATTGTGCTAATGGGGGTTGGTTACTTCATTTGGCGCTGTCTGTGGGAACTCCTTTCTCAGGAAGCTAGTAAACTTGGGACCTATGTGGGAATCCAATGGGTATCCATCCCACTTCGCTCCATTAGTAGGCCACACTCTGCTACATAGGTTGACTAACTACTTCAAATTAGTACAAGGCCTTTTCCTAAGGAGAGAACAAAATGTGATGGTACGTCTATAGCGGACAATATTGTGCTAATGGAGGGGAGAACAAAACCGTGAGGGTACGCTTAAAACGAACAATATTGTGCTAATGGGAGGAGAACAAAACCGTGAGGGTACGTCCAAAGATGGACACCCATTGGACTGCTACATAGGTCTCCACTACATAAGTTAACTAACTCCTTTAAATTAGCACGAGAAATTTTTCTAAGGGAAGAACAAAACGTGAGGGTATACTCAAAGTGGACAATATTATGCTAATGGGAGGAGAACAAAACCGTGAGGGTATGTCCAAAGCGGACAAGGTTGTGTTAATGAGGGGGAACAAAACCTTGAGGGTACGCCCAAAACTCCTAAGGGGAGAATAAAATCGTGAGGGTACTCCCAAAAGAGACAATATTGTGCTAATGGGAGGAGAACAAAATCGTGAGGGTACACCCAAAGCAGACAATGTTGTGCTAATGTGGGATAGACACCTATTGGGCTCCCACATAGGTCTCTAGTTGATTGACTTCCTCTGAGAAGAGAGTTGCCACAAACAGTGTCAAATGAAGCAACTAACCCCCATTAGCACAATTGAGCTCCCACATAGGTCTCCAGTTGACTGGCTTCCTCTAAGAAGGGAGTTCCCACATATGGTGTCAAATGAAGCATCCAACCCCTCATTGTCCGCTTTGGGTGTACCCTCGTAGTTTTGTTATTCGTTTAGGAAATGCCTTATGTTAATTTGAAAGAATTAGTTAACTTATGTAGTGGAGTATGATTTACTCACCGAGCGATAGTTAATTTGTATAGTTAATTTGTATAGTGAAGTATGATTTATTTACGGAGCGATATGAGATAGCCACCTATTAGACTCCTACATTACCAATTTCACAAATTGAACTGGCCCAACCTGATGCCAAACTTGACTAATTTGGCCAACTGAGTTGGCCGACCTGATGCCGAACTCTACTCCGATTATCTCGCTACCAATTCCCTTCTACCCTTCTACTTTTTTTTTTAGGGAGCAAAAGAATTTAGGGGGCTCCACACTAATGTTTGTCACATAATGCAAACAAACTCTTCAATGGGTCCATCATGTATTCCAACTACGTACACAACAACAATAGTTACGAGAGGACTAGATTCTGACTTGATAGAACATGTCATTCTGGTTCTTGGTGGTGGAAAGAATGAATATGAGTGAATAGTATAGTACAAAACAACACAACACAAGAGTCCAATCATCCAAAAACCGAAATTGAAATAAGGGAAATAACATTTCAGTAGAATAGTCTCAAAATAATTATACACCAAGTGATATTTTTTTTAGTAAGAAATTTACACCAAACATTAAAAATAACTCCTACTAAATACAGGAAATATTTAAACTTCTATAAGAATGGATTATTTTTCCATTATGGCACATTCGAATTAACCCATTCAAAATATAGCTGAAATTGTGTAGTTGAAGCAAAGTAATAATAAAAAAATAAAAAGTTCTTTTTAACTGATCAAACATGTAACGTTCCTTTCAGGGCAAAAAAGATGAACCATTAACAGGGTTCTGTTTTGCTTCTGACTTATTTGCATAGACAGGTCAAGTGATGATATACTTCCAAACACTTCGACTGTGTCTGGTTAGACTAGTTAATTAAACGGTTCAGTCTGGCTCATTGTGAGCTCATTTTAGATCAATTTCTACCATTCAAATTGTTCAACGTGTAAGTTTTATTAAGAATTTCATCGTTGTAAAATGTTATGTTGATTGGATATTAATAGCTATTTCATTAGATCACATTTATGTTAATAATTTATTTTTAAAATCATAATTATCATGGACACAAATTTAATCTGATCAAATGATTATTGATATCTGATCAACATAATTTTTTATAAAAATAAAACATTTAATAGGTTTAACATATTAAACTATCCAAATTATCAATATGAACTTCGTAATGAGACTACAAAAACCCAATAACACACCCCACTCCAATTCTGGACCAGAGAGGTCCCCTTCTTACTTGCAAAGTTGCAGAGGTGGAAAGTCTCCGCTAACCACAACGTAACGTACTAGTTTCGTAAATTGTACACAAAACCATTCCCACTTTAATGATTCCATCTATGGCTATTCAAGTTTGAAACTTTACATTCATTCTTTAAATTTAATGATATAACAATAAATTAAAATATTTAAGACAATTTTTTTTTATATTTTTTTTAATTATATATCTTATATATCATTAGGTCTAAAAAGTAAAACTACAAAAAAAGATTGTATATCATTTTTCTTTGTTTGTGATAAAATAAAGTAAACTGATGGATAATTGTAGTCATAATTTTTTTAATTAGATGATGTTCATTTTTTGGAAGGCAAGTATAATTAACGATAGGTTATAATTAGGGTTGAAAACGAGTTGTGTCGAACGAAGCTAAGTTTTATTATTTTTATGTTTGTTTATTTAGATTTTAATGAATTCAAACTTAAGCTTGTGCTCAATATAAATTTAATGAACTAAACTCGAGTTGAGTTAATTCAGGCATGGCTTAATTCAAGCTTGAATTTGTTTACGAACTTTAATAAGTCAAAGAAATTATAAATTCATACTTGCGTATAAGATTAAAATTATAATTAAAATTTTGTTATACAATTATATATATATATATATATATAAACATACTAAAGAAAATTCAATATCTTACCAAAATAATAATATCTACCACTACTCACTACAAGAAAAAACACTTTTGGCGACCACCTATTTTTTTTTGTCGCAAATAGTCCACTTTCTGCGACTAAAATTTAGTTGTGTGGAACGAAACTAAGTTTTATTATTTTTATGTTTGTTTATTCAGATTTTAATGAATTCAAACTTAAGCTTGTGCTCAATATAAATTTAATGAACCAAACTCGAGCTTGAATTTGTTTACGAACTTTAATAAGTCAAAGAAATTATAAATTCATACTTGCGTATAAGATTAAAATTATAATTAAAATTTTGTTACACAATTATATATATATATATATATATAAACATACTAAAGAAAATTCAATATCTTACCAAAATAATAATATCTACCACCACTATTATATAACTGTATATAAATATATTATCTATAATTAGCTATTATTTATATTCACATTATTTAAATTTAAAAATAATATATTTATCCTATTGTTTATGCATATTTTTATGTTATTTAGCATATAAATAATATATTTATTCTATTAAACAAGGCAACTAATGAGTCGAATTTTAATATATTTGGATAAAAATGCTTGAGACCCCAAAGTTGGGGACTCTCATGACCCTCAAAATGATGTAAATCGATCATGTGTTTTTATTTTTTATTTTTTCTTTTCTTCTTGAATCAATCACAGGTGAGTGGAAGTTGTGGGGATTGTATTTTTTGAGAGTCTGTAGCATATTTGATATTTGGGCTTGTAATTTAGGATTTTAACGAGTTTGAACTCAAATTCAAATGCAATAAATATTTAACAAATTAAGTTCGAACGAGTCCTTACCAAGCCAAGCACGAGTCTGTTTACAAACAGTTCTATCCATTTGCATCCCTAGTTATAATTATCAAATTAATTTAATTTTTGTATGTGTGATGCACACACAATAACTTTCAAATAAACGATTCAAATCATCGAAATGAGATTTTTAATAACAGCTCAATATTTTTGAAAATCTCGTAATATAAAAATGAGACTTTATTTAAATTTAAACATTGGGACAAATTGGACAATTTTTTGTATGCTCACTTCAATAGCCTAGTATTTGAGCCAGGGTCTCATTGACCTGGATAACAATAGCAATATAAATTTAAGTTAGACAGGATCGTTGTTTTCATATATATATATATATATATAGAGAGAGAGAGAGAGAGAGAGAGAGAGAGAGAGAGATGGAAGGTGATGGGGTTGAGAATGATGCTGTGATGCTTACAGGAGAAGCAGCATTAGAATTAGAAGAAGAAGGAACATTAGAAGAAGAAGGAGGAGGTGATGAAGAGATGCTAAAGAAGAGAATATCAGGACACCCTCTGTATGGGCTACTAATTCAGACGCATTTGAATTGTCTCAAGGTATCTTTCCATTTATCCTTCCTTCTTTTGTTGATTTGGTGTTTTGTTTTTCACACCATTGGTCTCAAGCTCACAAGAAGGGTTGTTTGTTGGATAGTCTGACATTCAATAGTTAAAACTTTTAAAAGTTAGAAATTACTCGTACTAAGAAAAAATATCTTGAAAAGTGTCAGAACTATAATATAAAGTGTAAATTTAAATTTGGTATCTTGTAAAATACTTGTGTTAAATTTGATTTACATACTTTAAATTTGAATATTTTTTCAAAGTACTATACTATTGCAACTCTATCTTTCTCTCAAAAAAGGAGTGGGGAAAAGGGTGTTCTAGGCTGGTTAGATGCAGCTTTTTCTAAGCTAATAGATATGCTAATCAGAAGGAAAACTAAAAGTACTCATTCCCCTACTTCTCAACAATTAACTTTTTTTTAGCTAATCTAATTTAAATTAAGTAAACATTACACTAAATACTTTAATATTATATATATATATATAATTCCATAAACCGTTTGTCTCCTATATTGCCATGCAACTTTGTGTGCATTTTAGAAGCACATGTCTTATGTCTTCCCAAACTGGCTATACTTTTTTCTTGGCATAGAGGCAATTGTAATGGTGGCGTTTTTTTATATGATTTATTTAAATAACTTGAAATGAGTTTAAAGTGAAAATTGTATAAACAGTAGGATAGGATAGACTTATTGACTAGTGTCGGTTAAGGTTTAGGTCAACTTCCTCTTCCATTAACACTAACTTTACACAAACATGGGGGCAATCTCATTTCATACATTAAATGGTTGATGTCAGGTTGGCTTAGGTGATATTGGAGAGTTTGGTATAACTACTACATTGAATCAAGCTCATGCTCAAATTCACAACAAGCAGCTCAATTCTACCAATCCCACATCTTCAGACCTTGATAAATTCATGGTAATCTCTCTCTCTCTCTCTCAAAGTTAGAATTACAAATGAATTGAATTGTTCGCGAACTCGACTTGTTAACAGTTTGATTCGACTTAAATAAATGAGTTCAAATAAGACTTTTAAACTCGTTTAGTAAATGAACTGAGCTTGAGCTTGATTAACGTTGGTTCATAAAGCTCAATTTATTTATCTGTATTTAAATAATATAAATAATAATTTTAATATAAAATTTCGAACCAAACTCAAGTTGAATTAGTTATTGAACCAAATTTGAGCGCTACAAAGCGTGGCTCAGCTCAATTGTTAGCAATTCTATTCAAAGCACATACCTCCTTCCATGGTTGGAATGTTCTATATTACATTGCATTAATTGCAAATATCTTTTCAAACTGAAAATCATTAGGTACTTTTTAGAGTATCAAATAGATTCAACCTTTTTTCCCCACATGTTATTAAATGTTATACCTAACAGATTTACATTTTATTTTAAAAAGCTAACAATCTAAAAAACTATAATGATAAAAATACAAAAATCACTTAATTTCAAATTTATAATCATAAAAATTAAGTTATAAGTGATAACAAAGAGACCAAATTTCAAAGAGTGTATTCAAAAAGTTTTTTGCAAACTACAATACTTAACTTGGGAGAGGCTATAATATACAACCCAAAAAAACAGCATATGAAATATAATATGGCATTCATAACTTTTTTTCACAAAATTCTACAAAATTGCTTAATATAAACAACAAAATTTTATAATAAAAGTCACAAAGTATCATAATTTTACTATCCGTCAATTTAGGATACACACTATAAATTCACTATTTATAACTTTACCATAAAGCGGCATAACATAAACCACAAATATAAACAACAAAATTTTATAATAAAAATCACAAAGTATCATAATTTTACTATTCGTCAATTTAGAATACACACTATAAATTCACTATTTATTACTTTACCACATAGTGAACTAACATACACCACAAATATTTATAATTTTTATCATAAAAAATAATTTTGCTTATGACGTGCATATGCACACATAAATTTTTTGTACTTTTAATTTTAAAATTTGTAAAATTAAAATTCTAATTCTCATAGGATTGTAAACAATTAAGTCGAGTGAAACAGTAAGCTATTCAAACTTAGTTTGAAAAACTTAATGAATTTCAAAATATATTTAAATTTGATTTGTTTACATAATAAGTCAATCTTAAACAGTTTTTGAATAGTTTAACTTTTTATGGTATATGTATTAAGATAAATAAGTTCTTCAAATTTGATTTGAAAACTTAATAAGTTTAAAATTATATTCAAATTTATCTAATTTATAAGTCAATCTTATCTCAAATAAATTTTTAACATGTTGAATATAAATCAAATTCAAATAGTTTGGTTGGTTTAACCACCCAAATTCTGGGTCTGTCAATAGCATGTGATATTATTGTACCTACTTATGGCCAGGCATGCAGAATTCAATACTATGCTCGCTCCCTGTATGAAGTACTCTAACATGAGTATTTTCTGTCCAGATTCTTTTATTGCTACATTTTTGTAGGGTGAAGACAAACGAAGAACCAAATAAAAAATTAAAAAACCCTTACATTTTTATTTGTTGTTTTTTAGTTGATTTCTTTTCCATTTTTGAAATTAGATTTTTTGTTTCTTCTTTAATGATGATATACACCTAAATAGCTTGGACTTCCAAATCTTTCTCTTTTGTTGGTCAACACTTGAGGGTTGTTTGAAAGCAAATTTTTCATAGATAAATTACAAATACACCCCTTAAACTTTGATTAAAATACGAATCGCCTCCTGTAGTTTTGAAAATTACGTTCCACCCTTGAAATTTCTAATTTTATAACAAATCGCCCATTTTATTAATAAATCATCAAATTAATTAACAGTTTTTAATGATGTTAGAAATATGTCTTAATTAATAATTTAGGTAATTTCATTATTGTATAGGAAACCAATTATGAATTTCATTTTTTAGTTAATTTTGTTAAATAAAAAATAATAATAAGGAGATATTTGTAATTTTTCAAACCACATGGGACAATCTATACTTTAAACAAATGTTAGGGGGTGTATTTGTAGATTACTCAATTTTCATTTAGTCTTTAAATTTTGATTTTTCTTCTTCTTAATTTTAGACAGTTTAAGTCTAAAAGGCCTTATAAATTTAAAAATAAACAAATAAATAAAAGTTGAGAAAGGTACATTGAAGAAGAAAACATTGATTTAATTACAAGATATTACTTGGACTTTAATTAATTTTCATTCAAGTTTAAAAAATAAAAATTGTAAGGACTTATACACTTTATTTTTCATTCATTTTTGAAGAAAAAAAGCTTGCATTTTTTTTAATGAAATGAAAATTTTATTTTTAAATCCATAAATAGAAAAACCTGGTTGGTAAAAAAAAACTATTTTTCTTTCACTGCTAGATCAAGGTAAGTATAAATATTGGGGTAATTACAAAAGAATCTAAGTGTTTGACTCTTGCAACAAAATAAATCTTAAATTTTTAATTTTATCAATTTAAACTCTCATCTTCTGATTTATTGTTAATCTAACCATAAGTCTATTTTTTTTTTAAACTAAAACTGACGGATGGAGATATATTAATCATTAAACTCAATGCATGTGTAAATAAAATGTCTAAAATATTATTTTTTTTATTGAGTTTAAAGACTAAAATATTACTTTTTTTTTTTTTATCAATTTTACATAATAAAAACAGACAAATAATTTAAATTGAAAACAAATCAAAAGGGCCGCATCTTCATACCTAAATTTGGGATTTTTAATTTTATAAAAACAAAATTTAATTTTAAAAAATGAAAAGAACAATTATGTTTAGAAAGTTATGGAGAAACCATAGTTTAATTAAGGAGGTAAAGGACCAAATCACAGTTTAAGGGGACAAAAAATGTAATTTTTTTTCCATTTTCAAGTATTTTTACAAACAAATTTGGGTTCTAACCATTTGATGTCTTCATCTACAATGTTGGGAAAATATGTTTGAATGGGCAGGAAGTTTATTGCATGGCACTGAGCAAGTTGAAGGAAGCCATGGAGAAACCATTGCAAGAAACAACAACTTTCATCGAAGGCATGTACGATCAACTCGGTGAGCTCAGTGTCACACCACAACCCAGATCTCCTTTTCAATAGAGAACTCAGAAAGAACGAGATGATGTATAATCTTAGAGAACCGACATTCAATTATCCATTTTAAATTATCTAGCTTGTGTTACATTGATATATTGTTAAAGATTATTGCCATTTTTGGCTTCTTAATTACTAGTTCTTTGAGTTCTTACGAGGAGGAGTATATATTTAAGACTAAGGGTTTACAATGATAGTCTGTGTCACTTTTAGTTCTTATAATTTCAATTGGTTTAATTTTGATCTTAAATTTATAATTTTGTCTCAATTTAGTTTAATTGATTATAATTATTAACCATTTTTTAATGAAAAAAGGGCACGTAAGCAATATATGTCATGCTTTTAGGGGAGCAAAATTGATTTGATCAATTCACTGAGTTAATCTCAACCAACTCAGGTATTTTAAACCCTAACGACGTTAGTAATTATACCAAATTGATATGGAATTTAAAATATATTGGTCAAAATTGAGCTAATTGAAAGTGAAGAATCAAAATGACGCACGAAACAAAATATAAGGATTACCAGTGTAAGAAACCCTAAGACTACTGTTGGTATTTTTCTCGATAATAGAAAACTAAATTATGTAAAACAAAAACAGAGGAGACAAAACAATTTTATTTTTAATTATTAAAGAAAACACAAGACTAAAAAATAGATTACAATATTAGAATATATTACAAGATGGATTCACATGGATATAAAAAAATAAACAAATAAAATAAAAATAAAAAATAATAAAAAATACAAGAAATAGATTAAATCCAAAAAGTTTGAAAAACAAAAGATAAAGGATGCAAACCGAAACTTGTGGTATACACAGTTTCTTCAAAACAGATTCACCACCTTGCCAATGGGTGTTGGAGGAATGCCAACGTCTGTCATCTGTTTCCTAAGATATAACGGTCAAAAGCAGCTAATGCAGAAACACTTTCTAAATAGTTTCGACAAACTTGACAATGACAGAATTCCCTCTCTAATAAGAACCAAAGAGGCTAGCAAAAAGAAAATAGGAAAAATATCTTTGGTGTAAAAATCATCTCCAACTTTATTATCTCAAAATATCATCTCCATTTTTCATCTCAAAAATCTCTTCAAAACCATCCTACCAACTTGGAGAGAAAGACCTCTATTTATACAAATAAGGGAGTCCCTAACCATCAAGGCTATGACATCAATGGCCATTAACTAAAAGCATCAAATGTCATCAACTCTAACCATTAGAGCTAAAGTTACAAAGGTTAAAAACTCCAAAAACATTGTATAAATCATAATGTGTATATAATGCATAAGTTTAAAAATTAAACTAGATGGGTTACAAAATGAATATAGGTGTGGGTTACAACCCGATTCAAGTCCAATCTCAAACACATGCACAAGCTAAGCCTAACATAGCACAGCCTAGCCCAAGCTTAAGACTAAATCCAAGTCCAAGTACAAGACCAAGACCAAGACCAAGACCAAACCCAGCACATATACAAATACAAGCCTAGGCCTAGTCTAAACTAAAACTAAGTCCAAATATAAATCCAACTTTTATCGATGTACACTTTATGAGACAATTCTCATTCACAACTTGATGGTTTCGACTCATTATTTTCATAGTGTAATCTTCTCACTTAAGAGAATACAATCCCACTCAGACTCACCTCAAATGGCGGTTGAGTCCCACTTTAATCTCAAATTAAAGTTGCCAAAAAAAACATTATTTTTCAATGATCCCCCACATGATCACTACAAGAAAAAACACCTTTAGCGACCACATTTTTCATGTTGGTTGTAGATAGTTCACTTTTTGTGAACAAAATTTTCCTTGGTCGCGGATTAGTTATGCTTTTGCTTCAAACACTTTTCTGGTGGCTGATAGGCAATTTTTTGCGATGAAATATGAAATGCGGTCACGGAAGGTAATGGCGATAGAGCGAAATAAAAATGGCGAGATCTCAAAACCATTGGTGACCAGTAAATTGTGATCACAAAAAAGAAAATGAGCATTTGTGAAGCAAAACTATGTAGTTTTGAATGTTTAAATCAATTTTTTTTTTTTAATTACCTAATTCCTAAATCAGCTTGAGCTTCAGTTTTCATCGGAAACACAGCCCTAGCCACCATCTCCATTCACTTTGTCCCTTGTTCGCTATCGATCAGAGCCACTTTTACCGTCTCTTCTCTCACATTTCGTTCACCACTAGGTTTACTTCCTCCTCTCTCGCATTTTGTTGTCCAATCGAGTATTCTCTCCCCCTCTCTCTCTCTATATATATTATTGATGGGTCATTTCACATACCAAATTTAAACACTAAGTTGTACCAAATTCCTTAGAATAATGGTAAGTCTAGGTATCGATCCACAGGGACAAATGGAAAATTAAACTAATTTAACTGTTAAATTCATAAATTAATTTTGATAAAAAGATTAAGGAATCATAAACTAGTAATAACTAAATTAAACTAAGAGATTAAACCAGCACTTATAAATAAATTTGGAATTGTTTATTTTTGGAAAACACCTATGGTAATGAGTCCACCACTAGTTACATAAATAAAGTTTCAATTTGAAAATAAATTATGTGACTGTTTGAGCAGAATAATACTTCGCAACTACAAGCTCGAAGCATTTATTAAGAAAATTAACATGTTAATGTATTGGCACGAACCATTTCAAGTAGTATGAATCATTCGCTTTAAACTAGAGTAGCAACACGACTCATCTATCGTAGTATGGCTCGTCTCATACCTCGAACATGAAAGAGTAGAAAACCATTGTATGGAAAGCATTCAACAATCACAGAAAGCAGAATACTTAAAGAGATAATGAAAAATATAAATTTAAAACTTCTTAAACACTATACAATCTGTTCAAACCTTTACATAATCAAAAAGCAAAGAGAAAACCTAATTATATAGTTAGGGTTTCATCAAAACCCTAGAAAAGAAGAGCCTAGCCATTCATGGAGATGTGGGAAGAGGTGGAAGAGGAAGAACCCCCCATGAAAGTTCTCCTTGAAGCTTAAAGAAAATCAGCTTCTCTAAACCCTAGCCTCCATTTCCTTAGAATAATTTTCAAACCCTAGGTTAGCCTATTTTTCTTCCTTTTATTCTCAGTAGAACAAACCCAAAATTATAAGCATGCATCCCTAGGTGGGCTGCTTGAGTGCCCATGTGGGCCGCTCGAGTGATGGTGGGCCGCACATGAGGTGGAGCTTGGTCGCACGTGCGGTGAGGTGGCTAGCTTGGATTTTTCGTTTCTCACACGGAGAATCTACTTTCACGCCCTTTTTGATTGAATTTTCGTATTTCTTGCCAAATCTGTACAAGTGCACAAAACACATCATCTACACCAAATAAACAAAATTGAAAGATTATAAATGTAACTTAAGCGACCTCAATGTGGTACCTTTCGGCCTACATCACATCCTCCAACTTACATTTCGCTAGTCCTCGAGCAAAACAATAGAAATAAGAAAAAGAAAATACTCTAAGCCACTTTCGTAGGGATCACGATTGCATTTAACATATGTAACAAGCCTTTCAACCACAAGGTTACCACAAGTGGACGAGTATAGTCTCGTGAGAGCTTCCAGAAATGATACCTACAAACATCAACATATTCATATAGGCTCAACAACAATTAACCATACTACTTCACCTAACAATCAACTTATGTGCCACTATAGTGTGATATTAAGACATGATGAGTCATTGAAGGCATAGTGGATAAGCATGAAGGAATCTACTGAGCAAAGACTGCAATTCAGTTAATACAAAAGTTAAGTCCTTTGTACTTGTGAATGCTAGTAAACACATTATCAATGCCCTTGGTGTAAAGTGCATTCCCCATAACTAATTAACTGTTCACTATAATAGCCCAGCGTAACTCACAATAACACCTAACATATACAAAAAAACTAAACTTTTGCAACCAAGATTCTTATCATTTTTTTTTTTGAAAGACCGGGCAATGTCCTGATCCATTAAGCTTTCTAATTAACCCTAGTAACAAACATTAGGCTAATGACTTCCAAACCAGACAGTTTTAGGGCACTAGGTGTGAAGACACCCCTACGGGCTTAATAACTTGAGTTGAAAAGGCCACGAACATGTAGACGTCCCCGAACATCCCGGGAGGAAATCCCCCCTGTTTTGTTCATTGGGCTCACTACAGTTCAGGACTCAATGTCACGGTCCTATATCTAATCTCGCAGAGCGCAATGCAAGACCGATGAAATCATCAAAGAGTCGAAATCTGGCAAATCATTTTTGAAAACAGATTTTTTGATAGAAGTGCCAAACATGGACTGCTTTGCCAGATACAGAGTCGCCACCTAAATATTTTATTTTGGGAAATTTAGGAAACCCTGACTCATTGCCTAAGGCCACGTGTCCGTCATCACCAAAGTTGCCTCGGCTCGGGAACTTGGGTACGATTGGGGAAGGTCAGCTATGAGGGAGGGACAGAGGGTAATCCGAAGATCGGCCTCCCCCCATCTGGAGTTAGCCCGTCAACGGCGGATTGCGGTAGTTCCTCAATATGTGTCATTGATTGAGAAAATGAGAAACTTAGTCAAGAGGTTTTTGTTCTGTCTGTTCCTTCTCACAGACGGCGCCAATTATACGGGAAAGAAATACGCCTTCTTGTATAATCCTGTTGACCAAGTCCACGCTCCTCCGTACGATGTCGCTTTATCACTTGAAAACACAAACGTGAGCTAGCCGGCGGGTGTGTGCCGGAAACCTCTCCGATGCCTAAGTCAGTAAACTTGACAAATAGACAAAGCTCTATGTTTTCAGAAAGCAAAATTGCGTTGTGTTCTGTTACCTCCTTCCAAGGTGATGCTTGTGAGCTTTTATAGGTTTCGAGTGGCACAATCCTAGTAGGACTTTTATTCCTCCATGTAGAGTCCTCCTAGGATTCATACTCCTAAGGATAATGCTTATCCTTTTACACCCCCC